GTGAATTCTTGTGCATTAAAGGGGGAGTATAATGGCATAACAACATTGACGCCACTGATATCTGTTGCGGGCCATGGCATCCAATGTTTCCAACCACTGAGATTCAGTATCTCGTGGACAAGAACCCGGAAGACGGAGTGGTAAGACTGCCGCCAGACTTGAGGTTGGCTTCTTCTTGCTCCTTCTCCACGTCACTCGCTGTCCACCGCGGCACTTTTGCTAATCGTTCCTTGGGAGTAAAAACAGCGCTCCACGTGGAAGGCGATGGGCTGGCATGCGCAAAATATGCTCGAGAAAATACATGCGATGTCGGAGAATAACCTCCTGAAGACTGGTACTACTCGCTCCAAGCACTCAGTCTCGGCCCCCTGCGTTGCTTACGTGGTGTTGCCACCACACTCGAGCGATTCTACGTAAACAGCGATTGTAGAAGACTGACAGTCGCTTCATGTCTTCCGAGCGAATAGGCCAAGGCTCACAGCCGTACAAGAGTACTGCACAGACGGAAGCATTGTACACCCTGCCCTTGAGCTTGAGACTGACATCACGACGACGCCATAGGTGTCTCAGTTTGGTGGATGCAAGGCAGGCCTTCGCAATCCGTTGTGAGACTTCATCTCTAACACCGCCACCAGCCGTGATGCAACTCGCTAGATAAGCAAAGCAAGGGACTCGCTTCAGAACATGTCCAGCAATGGTGAGCGCAGGTCCAGGCACCTACCAGTCCTGGAGCGGCGTTTTACATTTTCCCGGAGTGAAACATAAGCCGTAATTAGACGAATCCATCGCTAAGCGGTCCAAAGCGCTCTGGACAGTTTGTGGGTCGTCCCCCAGCAAGACAATATCATCGGTGTAGTCGAAGTCCGTCATTCAGTCTCCAGGTAGGAGCTCAACACCGAAGTTCTGGACACCTTCCAGCGCTCTTTGGACGACATCGGTGGCGAAATTGAAGAGGAAAGGTGAAATAGGGCAATCTTGGCGAACACCGCTGGTCACAACAAACGAAGAAGAGAGCCTGCCGTAAGTCCTGACTTTGCCCAAGGTGTGACTGCAAAGTTCTTTCAGGATGGTTACAAATTTGTCGGACACACCTTTCTTTAATAAACAGTTCCACAACACAAATCTATCTACTGAATCAAATGCCGCTCGGATATCCAAAAATATTATGATTGTTGGCCTCTGGTGGATGTGACGAAGTTCGAAAAGTTGGCGAAGCGTGAAGATTCGGTCGCTGCGGTCGCGGCCTGAACGAAATCCGGCTTGTTCTTCTCGGGAAAACTCCTCTGGAGTCGTTGAAAGTCTGCTAAGTAGGACCGACACGAAGATTTTGGATGCGACAGAGAGTAATGAGATGCCGCGGTATATATAGCAATCGTCGCGGGAGCCTTACCTGTGAATCGGAACAATGACCGATACTCCCCATGAGTTCGGAACCTTCTCCTCAGTCCAAACTTTCGTGAACAGCGATAGGATTTCCTTAACAAGTACACTCCCGCCATCTTTGAATAGAGCCGGTGGTAGGCTGTCGGGACCCGGAGCCTTGTGGCATTTCAAAGATTGGGTTGCATCTCGGATCTCTGCTTCATTTGGGGGGAGGGTCTGTGGAGACAGGCCAAGCATCATGCATTGGGGCTGGAGGTGCCACGTGAGGCTGTGTTGGGTGGTTAAGTTGAAGAGTGAAATGTTCTGCCCAGCGATCCAGTCGCCTGTGAAGGTTGGTGATATTCGTGCCGTCTGATTCGCAAATCGTATGGCTGATAGCGTGAGAATTGCAAACAGTAGCCCTGATGATGCAAAATAGACAGCGGAAGTTGCCAGATGATGCAGCTGCTTCCATCTCATCAGCTTATTTTGACCACTAAGATTCACGATCAGAGCGAAGGCTTGCTTTCAGTTGTTGCCTAATAGACCGGTGATCGTTGTATTCTGCGCCAGCAGGTACCGCCCGTCGGTGGTCCAGCAATTCCGAGGATCTTCCCGAGATCCAACTTTTGGGAGTGGAATGAGCGAGGCAACAACTGAACAAACCGGTCGACAGAAAGGCTTGTTGCGGGCTTGACCAGTGTTGAACTACATCCAGAGTGGGAGAGAGCGAGATTTGCACGAAGCCTTTGTTGATACTCCTTCTTCACCATTGGGTCCTCTAACTTGTAGGTGTTCAGTCGGGTGTGTTTGAAATAAGGTGAACCACCGAAACGCATGTAAACGGTCGTGCATACCAGTGCATGATCGATATCGTCGCAGGTTGACAAAAACGATCGACAGTCGCGTACGCTGCCGCGCCACCTGTAACTTATGGCCATGTGGTCAATCTGTGATCAGCGTTGGGTTGATGATGGGGGCGCCGAGTGGCGTATTGGTGTCAAGGATGACGAAAGCTCGTGCTGGAGAGGAAAAGCTGATGATCAGTCTCTCCCCGTTGCCTGAGCGAACATCATTATATCCATACGATCCCCGAGGTGGCGCTCACATGGTAGCAGCCGACCGACAACAGGTGGCGTTGGTCAGGGTTGTCCAACTTCTCCGTTTATGTTCACCTTCGGGTAAAACTACATTATGGAGTGTTCCCTTGCGGAGATTTCCGATGTTGGCGTTAAGGTGTTGCGTAGTGGAAAGCCAGCTGATTATGCGGAAGAATATTGTCATGCTGTTTAACGATGTTGGAGCGGCCGAATCAAAGCTGAAAAATCTCTTTAGAGCAGTCCCATCAAATGTTAACCGCTTCATACCTTCAAAGTGCTGTTAAAGAAATACCGGTGACCTGGTAACGCTTGATGACGAGGAACACGAGGCAGTTGATCACTTCACCTACCTTCACAGCTGCATCGGTAACGAAGGGTGCGTAATGACTGTAGTCAGCCCACGCAATACAAAAGCTAGAACTACGTTTTGTATCTGCGACATCTGTGGCTTAAGAAAGAGATTTCCCTCGGTCTGAAGGGCTGTGTTTACGAGGCCACCGCGAGCGCCGTTCTGCTATATAAGATTGAGACTTGGCCCTTCGATCTAAAAGCTTGCGGCACCTTCAAGTCTTTGATTATCGCTGTCTATGGAGCATGGCTGGTGTCGCATTGTACCAGCATGTCCACAACAATGGTGTGTGTAGGCGAGTGCTAGACAGTGAAAGTCATGCTAGTTCCTTGGAATAGATAGCATGAAAAAAGTTTCGTTGGCTAGGGCACGTATTCCGTATGCCTGGTCACCGCTTATCGAGGAGGGCATTGTTTTGTTTGTCAGATGTAGGGTGGCGCAAGGCTCGAGGTGAGCAAAAATTAACGGCAACGGGTAATGAAGTCACTAGCGACCAAACTGGATGCCGTCAGTGTGTGTTGCCTTTCAGGCTGGAGCCCATGCGACACGTCTTGTGGTTGGCTTGAGGCACTGCAGGGTATCGCACGCAGTCGGCACCAGTGGAATGTTGATTGTCATTTCGTAGCCGAACTACCTTTATAACGTGCGGCTGGTGATGAGTAAGCTGCGAGGTAACGGATGATTATGACGCAGAGCAGTAAAAGCCGCAAAGAAAGTTGTCTCGCCGACGCTGCTTTATCTGCGAACGAGAGAAAGCTGATTGTGACACTATGCTGTTGGCACAAGGTACAGGCGTCTTGACCCTGTGTTTGTTTAAGGCATTAAAGTTTTACGCTAGGTCCCCCTTCTCTTCCTGTTACTTTTCTTCGTTCAGTAGGCCACCATGATTGTACTGCAGCGAAGCACCAGCCTCCAAAAAATCAAAAACTGTGAGGGGGGCAAATGGACTAAAAATTATTTAATTTCCTTTCTTTTACTCTAACACTTTTGCTATTCCGCCATGGTTCCGAAGGCACTATATCCGCACACAGATTGTGATCAAGATATGGTTGGCGGCATCCGGTTTTGGATTTGCCTGTCACTGTGGCCAGCCACAGGACGCCTGCCCCTACAGATGGACCTTGTATGGCTTGCGCTGCACCACCCACAGCTCCATCCACACACCCGACATCCAGTGTAAACCCGAAGGAATAAGACTTTGAGGCATGCGGATGGGAACCACGTTTCATCAACGGAGCCGGCCCACACTCCTTCACAGACAAACACAAGCACGCTGTATTTGGGGAATCAACTGCATACAAGGCGGTGGCTGGACCGTAGTCCGCTTCACACTGAATGCATGGAACCCCTCTTCGAGCCTAGCACGGCCATATGGACCGTGCACCGCGTCCCCTTCAGCAACGACCAACTGTTTCCTGGAGCCAGTATGAACGAGGTAGTGGATAATGGACAGGTATTTACCTTGCCAGCATGCACATCAAGCGCAGCCACACATGGGATGTCAAACAACAGCCAATCAATCGAAATGTCGATATCGAATAAAGTAAACGCATATGAGGACATAAATACTCGCTAAATGATCATATGGAAGAAATTGGTTATAAGTGAATCCGCGATAAGTAAAAAGGTCCGAAAGTTATTTAAAAAATACCACGCAATAAAATTACGCAAGTTTACCACAATTTGCGCGAGCGACGTGTGCAAGTTAGGAGAAGATTATCAGGCACCCAGAACAAACCAAATAAAGTGGAATGAATTTTATCCACATTAAAAAGAACTAGTTGGTTTAGTCCAACTGCGGTGAAGAAGCATATATATAGTAAGAACTGATGTAATGCTGTTTATTATGATGCATATTGTGATTCAGCACCACAATCAGTTTTGATACGAGGAATCTCATATTGTAACTCGGTTTAGACTCGGAAGTAGATCTCGATCATTTAGATCGCCGGAGCCGCATCAGAAGTGGAGGGCTTTGGTACTTATTGCTGAAACAACACTCCAAGAGGTATTTCGTCCTTGTTGGGAATCTTCACGTAGATATAATCTAAACTGGAAGTGAAGCCCAACCGCTGACGGATGATACCTTGGTCACTAGCCCAATGAGCTTCCCCAGCAACGCTGTCTAGATGCACTAAGCTTGTCCGCCTAATAGAAAGCGAGCGATCGGAAATGGATCGATGAGGCGACTATGGGATGTAAACCGAAATAACCCAACATAGAAAGAGCTTAGGGATGAGAGTGATACCATCGAGATAACGCGCAGGGGTATTCGGAAAAAAATACAGAACACAATACGTACCACGAACAATAAGGCAAACAGATGCGCGCAATGCCTGGTAGGTGACCAGCTGGCAATCAAGTGTGGAGGAGTTGGGGGAGCACAGCAACGGACAAAGGACTGACGGTTTGGATTCGTCCAAAACCTTTGGGCCGACCAAATATCTGCGAAGAAAAGGATAGGCGTCCGGGATGAATTAAAATCTTGCAAGAAAACTCACTTCTTCTACCGGGAAACGAATTAGCTCAATAAAGCAGACCGGGAGAAGATTGTTTCAAAAACACATCACGTGACACATGCACTAACCTGTTCACTAGTCAGAGTGGAATTAAACTACTATTTTTGGAACCTGAGTTAGCCAAACGTTTTTGGAATATCCGATAAATATAGGTTTATTTTCACACTACTTGCACCGTTACGGCAGTTGGTCCCGAAACATGCTTTTGGGCAGCTACTGAATTTGACTGGCAATAAAGCTTTCAGGGAAGATTAATTAAAGTGGAATCACATATAAACGGATTTAACAACAAAAACAGCGACAACAACAGCGGGGTGATCAATATTGCTAGATACTGCATGAGTAAGATTAAAAGACTACTGAAATGAGCGAGTGTTGGGACAAAAGATTTTAAAAGCTAATAGCATAGGACGTTCATCTAAAGGAGGAACGCGTGGGCCAGGTGGGAGATGCTCAACGTCACCAATTAACCAACGAACGAAGTTAAAACAAGAAGCAAATAGTTTAAAAGCTGCGTTTATTAAGCTAAGCGACAGGAGCTAGGCACAGAGGTCCAAAAACTTCAGACTCCGCAAGGTCTGCAACAAGGTGGGCACCGAAAAACTAAGAAGACTGGATGAACTTGCTGATCGTCTACAGCTATATGCTTTATTCAATAAAGTAGTAACCAACTACAGCGTTCAGACAGACAAGCACCAGCGGAGCACAATGTGCATGAGCGAGCTTAATAAAATATACAAATTTAATGATCAACTGGCCATCGCGACCAGACTGGAACCTAACGGGGTACGATGGTTTGTGTGTTTCAGCGATCCTGGGTAGTGATTTTTGCAACTTTAGAGCCATTCATACTAGAGTGGTCAATGAATAGGGGCCAGACAAACACAGTCTTCTGGTCCTCCAAGTTGGGGGTTGGAGTGAGAGTGCCTCCTTAATCCACAAAACGGACTCCGTATCCCAGTGCCCTAAAAACCCCGTTGCCTTGCGGTTAGGTTTTGAACCAAAAGCTTTCGTTGAGAACCCTAATCGTTCTCCTGTCTAGACCTGGCCAACCTGGCAGTATTCGACTCACGCATTACAACACAATGAAGTTTACTTTAAACAATCTCTTGGAGTTCTGGCCGTCGTGGAATACAATCCACGAAGACACACTTGGATGCCCTCAAAGTAATTAAACAGAACGAGAACGTGCTGCTCTGTAGGCCGGACAATGGAGCAGGGATTGTACTGATGGGGAAATCCGACTAGTCCATTAAGATTAATGTCATCCTCAGCGGTCAATCGAAACTCCGAAGATTGGATAAAGAAAAAGACAAGACGGGTGGAATTGAAAAGAAAGTTATAAAGATGTTACCTTGCTTGAAACAAGGGAACACGATCGATTCCAGCCGTGATCCCACGACTGTGGCTTACCGAAAGTGCATAAAGGACTTCCAATGTGACCTGTTTCGACATGCGTGATTCTCCATATCCCTAAACAGCGAAGTGACTCGCAAGATTTCTAGAACCAGTCATGGAAGTCTTATTAAGACATGGCCTCAGAGATACTTCCAGCTCCATATATTCCATTGGACTTGTTGAGCCAACCTGAAGGGAGATGCTTCTACTAGATATTGTAACACACTTCACTAATGTTTCGTTAGAAGAGACGATAGACTACCTAGGTGATGCCGTTCGATCGCATCATGGGGATGTCGGCTTGTCAAACGATCGACTTAGGTAGTTACTTTGATGTGTATAGACAGAAAAACGGAATCCCGGTGGGTGTTCCGTCAGGATGGCTACTAGTTGATGTGTGTATGAGTGAGCTGGTAAACCACTATCTGAGCAGGGCGATAAGAAACTTGGTCTACTACAAATGGCACGTCGACGACATATGCTGAAGCGCAGATAGCCACCAATGTATGGAGTAACTAGTGACACACTTCAACTCAGAACACAAAAACGTAAAATGCACTCTAGAATATGAGTACAACAACGCAACATCGTTCCTAGGCGTCTGAATAAACCGAAGATCTGAAGGTTGGGTCCAGCGCAATGTGCTTAGAAAGTCGACGAGGAAGGGGAAATATAATCATTCTTGGAACTTCATTTCACTAAATTGGAAGGAAAAACTTGTTCGGTGCCTAACCGAAAGAGCAATAAAGGTATGTAATGATGACATCCATTCGGAAGAGTCGAACTTCATAGGAAGCATATTCGAGATAAATGGCTATCCAGAGAATATCGTTCGGAAAAATATGGAGCCTCGAGAAACGAAGGCAAACTGGTTTCAATGAGAAAGAAACCGCTACCATTCGCTACCATTCAAAAAGGACCGGATGGCGGAAACTAGATCTATAAAGCTATCGGAGGTCATTGGTCCAACATACTAAGCATCACTCACAGTGATGACGTTTGACGTCGTATATTGGGGAATGAGAGCATTCCCTTCCAACAACTTGGTTTTGATGCGCCAGTTGAGATGGCTCGGTCACGTCCTACGCATGACACCTGCGAGTCTACCGCGTCGCGCTCCATTCGCTCGTCAAAGACCTGGTTAGAGGCGACCGCATGGCGGTCAGCCTTCCCCTTAGCCACAGCACATGAAACCGTCGACGTCGCGTGTAGCCGCCGTTGGACCCGTACGTATTCCAGGATGAGGACGAAGGATGAGGAGTGCCAAAGGCCTAACATGCTTGAAGACTTCGCTCGCAACCGGAACCAGTGGAAGTACTGTGCACATAACTGTACTGATACGTATGGTTAATACACTACAACAAAAAAATCGGCGTGTAAAAAATAAACTGAAAATGTTTTGTTTTATTTTTCGTCAAAATATTCCTTCCTTCCTGCGGCACAATAGTTGTTGTTGCTCACCTTCAAGTACTGTGCAACGATGGCTAATGGCGCGGCGACTCTACATTTTAACTGCCAATCACGGTTGTTGTTAGCTCCATGCATATTTACTAGACTGTAAATATTACGATTACGACTACTACTACTACTACTACGCAGCAAGATTAAGGCCATGCTTAATTCAGTACCAAGGTCGCATACTTCTTTCTATATATGTACTCATTTTTCCATTCGTGTCGATTAAGTGATATTAGAAGGACTACCAGGAGAATGTCCAAGACAACTCTGGACCATTACCCAGCTTGGCTGTATAGCCGTGTGACTAGAGCAGTGGCAAGTGAAGTGTCTGCGCATATGGTTGATTCGAATCATCATATCAAAGGACACAAAGCGTTCCATCCTACCTACTGAGTGCCCAAATGTTACTCGTGAGCAGTTAAATGACGCCTACTGACAGCGGTAGAAGCGATCGTCATCCGGCTTCATGATCCTGACCTATGTGCGCTGAAGAAATTTGTTCAGGCACTCACTCTACCTTAGTCCCCCGTAACGCCGACACATGGAGTGGATAACATCAAACACACACACACACACACACACACACACATAATTGATCGCAGTGAAACCAATTACTCAGCCTGGTTGGTCGGACCATTGTAACCTCTGAACTTGTGCCCTTATTCGTTGTTTACTTTTATCATTCATTTGTGGTGTAGTAACGTGAAGATGAGTCACTGGAAACGAGCTTGTTCGCAAACATTTGCTCAGATGTCCATTCCTGGGATATTTTATCAGATCAACTAAAACTTAGTAAAGCACTTGGTTGTTGTTGTCGTCGTCGTCGTTGTTGCTCCTGCTGTTGGGATCGACCTGGTTGCACAAGCTGTGGAATGCAACAATCATCAAATGGGATTTGGTGTTGGTTTCAGATCAACACACCACTGTGCAAGCGTGGAAAAAATCCCTATTAAAATGTGTTTACATGGCTCTAGAAGGATCAGCAACAGTTCTAAGACTTCAGGTAAGCCATACTGATAAACAAGCTCATTTTCAGATGATTCATCAACAGGCCAAATACAATGTGATGTATCACGAAAAACAAGCTTATTTTCAATACTAGTTTTCCATGAGTGATAGGGGAATTATCTGCCATGACTGAAACGTCCCCAGTCAACAGCTGGAGTGGGTGAATGGTCAAGCCGACGTTGAACTTGTCAATCTGGCATCCTAATGATGATGGATGTATTCTAAGACTAGGATTACCGGATCCCTCGAGGAAGTACCATGAAAATGAATGATACGCTAATGGTTCCGGGTCATAAAGCATAAACACACCTCGCTGAAAGAGACAAGTGGGAAATGAGAGGATGTATGCACAAAAATGGTAGATCAGTGCCAGTGATCTAAAAACGTTGGTTACACATTGGAGCCATGTGCTAATCCGATTATGGGGGCACGTCCAAGTCTACGGTGATTAAGCTCGATAAATGCTGTTGTTGAAAGTGGAGAGATTGAGTTGTAGTAAAAGAAGAAAGTTCGAAAGTGTCTACCCAATCGGTGGGATTTGAGTTCAGAAACCATTCGACTGAAATCAAACTAGGTATAACAGAACCAAACCAACACGTAGAGTCGATCAGGGTGCAAATGGGGCAGGGTGCAATCATTCAAACAATCAAGGTTCAGTACAGGAAAGGAGTGTTGTGGATGCACCGTTAAGCAATGTTTGCATTTCAAAAGACCGAAGCACGGTTGGAGAGAGTTTGCGAATTTAGCATCACAATCCAACACAACACTGCGATGCGGCGGATGTGACTCGCCACCAAGTCAAGTCACTGCTTTTGCGTATGCACATGATCCGACTCAGTCCACGGACGCCAGTCACTCAATACAAGGTTGCCCTTTCAGCCCTTATTAAGCAGACGGTCTCACCGAACACAATCACGACAATGGCGCCACGTTTATAGATTGAAGCAATATAGCTGCATACTTTCATACCGACATGCATACAGATACACTCCACATAGATAATACTACTACTAATGATGCAGAATTATGGTGTATTTGCCGATCATTTGTTTCGGTGTTATTAGGACCAGACGTATTCAGGTGTGCCTAGTATTGTCGACATATACAATTTAGTTATTTATAAGACAAGGTATTTTAGGCCTAATTGGGACAGGCATGGGCGACTCTAGGCAGTTGAAAAATCTAAAATGAAAATCCAACTAATGCAGGACGGCAAAAATGCGAAGCAAGGACCAGTGGAGGCGAATGTCACAACGCGCAGACAACTGACGAGTCTGAGGTCGAAGTTAAACTGAGGCCGTTGAAGAAGGCATATTGACTCGTCACCGTCACGTGATCACTAGCAGTTGCCTATTTGTTAGGGATACTGTGAAGTCAACACGAACCAGTTACCTGTGGATTCGAGCTGGACCACTCGGTCACCGATTGGCTAATAGCAATCATGAACAGTCTGCGGCAGCTTACAGTTCCGAAAGCATACCATAGGAGAAGTGCATCTTCATACGGTTTAAAACAGGTTACTCAGCAGTAACAATGCAGATAGTGCACTTAGAGCTGCTTATACATTCTCCTGCCCCTCAGTGTTTGATTCCAGTTTGCAATATTAAGTTTGGTTATCGCCCGTTGGACACTGTATTGCGCTTGGTATGCGCGTACGTTATGCTATACTTGTTGCTTTAGAGTCATTCATCGCCTTTTGACCGTGTAACTGTGACGAGACTCTCGTTCACTATCATAATCTTCTAACTAGACGCAATTCCGAAATTAACAATTTACTGCTCCACAAAACTTCTAGCCCAACCGAAGGAGAAAAGCAAAACGTTAATGACCTTGACAAAATAACGTATTAATCGCCGCCAACGAACACTGTACAACTACTGCGGACCTTGGCTGTATTTATAGATCTCTTACTGACCTTCGACTTCTAGAATTGGAAGGTCAGCTGCCAAGGTTAGTGGTTCCCCATATCTTTTGCCGAGGCGTCAGGTGGTTTTTAAGCACGTGCAGAACTAGAACATTCCGGAACGTTCGAAATCGATGCGATAATCGTTAATAATCGATAACGCTAAAATAGTGGATTTCCAAGGCAATTCTTACTTTCTCCCGGACATTCACACTTACCACTTACGCAGGTCAATCGATAGCTTCGCATGGAATTAGACTACACGAAGTAAAAGAGTCTGTTACTTGGTCATATAAATTGTGACAAGCACCCCGAACTAACGCTGCCAAACACTGTCACGTGGAAAGGAGTTACAGAATATGAAAGAGCACGAACTGCTGGTGAGTTCTAATGGAAGGGATCAGTTGTTATGTGATGGCTTCTGGTTCAAGACAGATGCGACGGTTGGATAATAACACACTAAACGCGTCCACTATGAGACGGTTTAGTGGCTCAGAACACCGAGGCATACTCAGAGTGTATTAGATCAAACCACATCTAGTGCCAATATGCATAAATTATTATTAATAACAATTAGCACGATAATAATAATAATAATAATAATAATAATAATAATAATAAGTATAAAGTGCACTGTTCCTGATAAAGATAGCTGAGGTCAATGGCAAGAAACCAAGTAATCGAAGAAAGTACAGAACAATAAAAGCGAAGCTCACCTTCCAAGATGTTTCATTGTTGTGGCGGCTGTGTGAGTCAAATCGGGTTGTTCAGAGAACAGAAAAGAATTTAAGTAGTGATACAAATGACGTGCGTACTCGGGATCAAGGGTTGCGCTGCAGAAAGATGATGAAACAAGCGAAAGTTTCGTGGACAAAGGGAGTAAATAGCATGGCAAATATTGTGAGCACGGGTAATTCACAGCACATACAATATAATACGCAGAGAACTACAATCTGAGAATGAACGAACGAGTTAGGCAACAAGCCCAACTGGTATCACACTGGGTGGTTTTAAAAGCCTAAATCATTCGCGTTGATCAGGCCACGCAAATGCGATAGTGATATTGAGCTGCCGAATGCGTAACTTCAACTGGGATTTTACTATGAATGCGAGTTACCATAAGAATGAACTAATTGTTGAGGTTATATTCAAATCTCTGTTGGATAATTTAAATTCTCGTATTGTTGGCCTGTGCCGTTTTGCTTTAAGAAAACCGCTTCCTTTTGCTTGCTTTCCATTTGTCGGTTAGCTATCAACCTTACGGGATTACTTTGTAATAAGATACACTACGAGGTGAGAATCAGAGATCGATTTCGATGGTCATGTGCTTGTCGAACAATCCAAACTCAGACTAGCGGCTAGGAGATCGATCACTCAGACTCACGGACATTTCGCACGCGCCACTCTGCTAAGTACACGCGCACTGATGATGTCACCTCGAGTGGTGACGAAACGTTTGCAGTCAACCTGCCGAGCTCAGCGAACACTCAGTCCACCAAAAGATACAAACCAATATTGATCTACTGAGCACTACGTTAGTGGAGAGGAAAATTGTGCTTACAGATAGATTTTGGATCCCTTGGGTGTTCGGAGTGGAAAGCGGTGAATATGGTTCACGGAAGAAAGGGAACATCTGCCAACAGAGGTGGTCGTCATACGTTCCAGAGCGGTTGCCGGCACTTAACCCTATCAGACCAGTGTACCGAAATTTAGGTAATTTCCGATTCCGCCGATATACCTTTGCACGTAATTTTCGGTCGCTGAGAAGTGAAAAATACTGGCTAGGGATGACAGCCGCTATCTGTATCAACCCTTTATTTGCACGTAATTAACATTTTTCTAGATCAGGCTGGTTTTTCTTTAATGATCAAAGTCACAGGTATAGGGGACATTTAGCTTCAGAGCCTCAGGGCTGGTAGGGTTAAGACAGTGCAACGGTGTGCCTAGGGTAGTCTTTATAGCTCAACTATCCGAGGTGCGTCTTGTCCCATGGACCAATACGAAGCATCCAGTGTATTGCAACTTACACCGGAGTATTACACGAAGTAGCGCGAATTGACGAATCCACTGAGGCGATTTCGTAACTATATCAGTTCTTAACCTCCGACATGTCCTAACATGTGAACACTACTTAGGAAGATCAGTAGCAAAACTACTATTCAACTTTTCAGTAAGTTAATTCACGCAGCTGGTAAAAGTCGGGAATTGGTTGAGCGGGCAAATCAATAGAAAACGTGCAGACGTAAGTGGCAAACTAAAATCAAAAGAACCTGGAAAGACACAGAGGATACTAGCCCGCCAGGTAGCAAGAATATCGACCAAAAAGCCAGCAATATACAACCCAGCTCAGAATCTAGAGCTCTGAGTGTGTCGGATACTTTAATTCATCAATACTATGCACGTCAACCAGAGGTGGAAAGCACCGCAATTATTGTGCTGTAATACAGAAAAGGAAAAAATCTACAACCGAGGCACGCTAGCTGAGCCAACAGTAACGGATGGGCATCGTACCGGAAAGCTAGCAGTCGGTATTGTGCCCATAAAAAGTTATATTATGCAAAGTTTGCATTATACTAAGAAATGAGATCGCGGTTAGAGTGGGAGGCTAAGATGGATTGGGAGGGACAGTGAAACTCACAACACGAACGCCATCGAGGTCGACTCCTAGCTATAGCAGCAAGTGTATCCAGCCAAACGTGTCTTTTGGACCCCAACCAGGGAGCCAAGACGCACCAACCGAAACCAGCTTCGAAGTGAACGCCTTCATTCCTCTCGAAAAAGTCATCTCTTGACCACCTCTTCTTCCATCCACACCCCGGGCGAGCAAACGACGCACGTCGCGGGAGTCGGTAGGCTGACATACGCAACGTCTTGCCCAATCATCGGAGCTTAGTGCGTGAAATAACAGTGCTGAGCGGTTCACTTATTCTTCCTGTGCCACAACAAAGCGTCGAACACGATCACTGCTCACACGGTGTTCTCACCAAATATAAGCAAAAATGCGACTGCATCGATGAGCGAACGTAACTAGCCTCTTTATGTCTGAGGATCTAATGTGCCAGGTTTCCCATCCGTACAATAGAGCCGAATGTGCGGCTGCATCGTAAACAACCGTTCAGGGCTAGAGTGATGTTTTTCGGACATCCACCAATGGTTAATGCCGGCTAGTCGCTTTGAAAGAAGTCACACCGCAACGTTTACACAGGTGATGGTCCGATTGGAATAAAAATCAAAGTATAAGGAAAAAGGCATCAGCAGTACGCCGGTACGAAGTACTGACCGTTCGCTGCCGCGCAGCCACCACCGGTCGCATGCGGGCTAAGGATACTGCGAAGGTCGCCCTGCCCCTACGCAAACTCGAACCCGCGCCGTCAGATTACAAGATAAGCTCGTTACCTTTAGGCTACGAGCAAGGAACACGATAACAGCATCAAATAACAAGTCCCAGCAAATATGTGGCACTAAAAGGCGCTTGTCAGTTGGAAAGAGTAGTTCCAAAACAGTAGGCAACGTGTTGAAAGTGTGTGTGTGTGCACGGAAACGAGAGCGACCGTAATGATCTTGACTCACTACACCAAACGTCCGTCGTAAAAGAAGGCTAGATGTTCAATACACCGGAAAGCAAATTTGACACGATTCACGAATCCCTGGACACGTGCGAAATCGGCCGGTTCTGTGGAGGTGAATTGGATCCCATTGAAGCAATTCAATATATCGCAATGCTCGAAAAGCATCAGTCTCAAATACTAGAAGTCGAGGAGGAAAAACAAAAGATGAGTTAAACGAAGTACTACTCGCGAGAAAAAGTGATCCAACCGTAGTCTCAAGATATCCACATCTTCGGACTGTAACAAAGCATCTATTCTACCGTTGAACAACTTAAGAATTATTGAGTGAAAAGGAGTGAGAGTACTTCAAATGTTTCGCAAGCAGTGGACAAAACCGCCCGCATAACTTGATCGTGTAAGTTGCAATCCCGTTCGTGATAAGTGGAATATTCAGCCGCAGATGTTTTGTGTGAAGGTAAGGCGACGACCTGGAAAGTTGCTGAAAACTCTCCATGGAGAACATGACTAACCATGACAGCCCACACTGCTTCTGAAATGCGGTAAAAGAACCGTCTCGTCATCGAAGTATGGAGGGAATGACAAGATGAGTCGAAAAACCTATACACGGTGGACGTTAGACTCATCCGTGAAAAAGCGAAACATACTTGGAAAACGTCAACAACGCCTCACACAATCCGATGGAATTGAGCCGAGTGTTCAGAGATTTATCCGGCGGGTAATAATACAATAGTTTTTTGTGCTCCTGTGTCGAATAGAAACACGTATATCAGTATGAAGATAACTTCAAAACATGTAGTTGAACCGTAGACAAAAAGGAGTGAGCACATTCTCGAATACACCATGGTATCGGCACCTGCCTCACATCGTTCATCGCAAGACGACAGCACGCAATCGGCACAGGCGTCACGCATGAGCAAGTAGACAACAGATTTTCGAAAAGAGAAACAAGCACCAGTCAGGCAGCATTCACGGAGGAACTGGTTGGATGTGGTACGCGCTTTATCGGACCAGGTAATAAGATGTGAGGACTGGAAGCAAGTAGATACGTTTCCACCAAGTAATCTATGATGAATCATAACAATCGTTCATAAAGAAAATATGTCCATACATTTGCAACCGAATAAGAGAGGAAATTCAACGGCTTTGGTACTGTGAATAAGAGTGACTGTTTTCGGGTGCGTAAACATGCCTGACAGCCAAAACGGAGACAGTTAAGTCGCGCTATGGCTTACGAAACAATGAGCATTTCTTCCTCTATCCGAGCACAAGCATGTCGAGCTGAAGAAACCAACGCTCACGCAGGTTCGTATGCAAAATGAATCTATTATGCACCACTTGATCATGTAATGAAATATTAATCGGCAAAGAAAAAAAACCGAAGCCTTTTATTCTTGGTGTGTAGTAGTCTCACATGTTCCTCCATTTTAGCTTCTGTTTTCATTCTATTCAACGATAAACAAACACTCGAACTGGCGTAAAAAGACGTGCAAGCTTAAGCTGGAAATGATTCGCATGACATATCATGTCAAGCACCAGTAACATGTGGATAGATCTTAAGGTGATGAAATCTGCAGATCGGTCCAGTTCAAGCTCAGTTGTAAGTCATATTATAAAAGTCACCTTCGATTAGTGGACTATGAAAGCACTCGTCTTCCTATTGCGTCATCTCGAGTGTAATGTTTCAAACGGAAGTTAAGTGGTGCGCTGATGCGACGAGGCGGAACCATCCAAAAGCACTTCGTCCGAAACCAGATCAACAGCTTGTTGTCGCAAGCATTAGTAAACATTGTGCAAGTTCTCAGCACTTACGCCATTTATAGAGAATACGATATATAAGGTTATTTGCAAGGATGCTGGGGTCTGATCAGAGTTATGGTAGAGATGAGGCTTGGTTCGCCGAACAATTCCAAGTGGCGTCGCCTGAGTGGTCAGGCTTATCCCGTTCCTAGTCCGGAGATAGTGTGGTGGGTTGTCGCCTGAGAAGCGTTCTCCGTAGAAAAAGCCACATATGTCTGCTTAACGGTACTGCGACTTGGCGGATGTGACTGCCCACTAAATAAACTCTTCGCCTCGTGCATGGTAGCCCAGTAGCATGATGCTTAAAAGGTAGGGAGAATCGGGCCTGTGTTTGAAAATCGACCAAACGAAGCGCATGGATTGAGCAACAAGTCAACAGCTTCCAATGGGCGAGAATGCTGGACTTCACTCCGTGGCTTTGTGAGTAAGCTATTCAGCCAAAGGATCGGGGTGGTGTCCGCTAAGTCAACACCCTACTTCACCATGGGAAATTGGGTAACAATGCGCTTTCTGACGAAACCATGTATTTCTCTTTGGTGTCTGGTTGTCTTTTAACGATACCATTTATGTATGCTGAGGTTGATGTTGCGTCCACAACGCATCTTCACCGCAGTTGGGCAAAACAAACATACCCTTAAACTAGGACTCTTTAAACTGGACACCCTTGTTTGTTCTGCCAACGCAATCCTATATTAACTTGCACACGTTGTTTACGCTAACTGTGGTTATCTCCGCTAACTTCATTGTGTTTGTACCATTTGTTAAGCAACTTGTGGGCAATTTTTACTTAATGCGGGTGCGTTGCTAAACAACTTACTTCATACGCCAATTTAGCGAAGTTAAGCCGGCAAAACTGTATGCCTTAACATATATTTGACTTGATAAAGTCATTTCTAGTGAATAGCTGTTGTTTGACATTCCCAGTGTAGCTGTGCTTGATGTGCATGTTGACAAGATTCCTACCTGCCTATTAGACACTATCTCGTCCATACTGGCTCCAGGAAAGAGTTAGTCGTTGCTGGAAGGGACGGGTTGCACGGTCCTTACGGCTGTGCTAGGCTAAAAGGGTGGTTCCATGCACTCAGTGTAGAGCGGACTACAGTCCAGCCTTCGCCTTGTGTGCGCTTGATTCCCAAATACAGCGTGCATGTGTTTGCCTGTGAAGGAGTGTGGGCCGGCTCTGTTGATGAAACGTGGCTCCCATCCGCATGCCTACCGGTCTTATTCCTTCGGGTTTACACTGGATTTCGGGTGTGTGGATGGAGCTGTGGGTGGTGCAGCGCAAGTCACCCATGGTCCCTCTGTAGGGGCAGTGACTTGGGGATGAATAGTCAGTTTCGCAAACTGACTACGGCGACGGACCTGAAAGCTCCGTCGCATTAAAAATGCATGGTGTATAAAAATGGCGAAGCACATGGAATACTAGGCCGAACGCCGCCAACAAAAGGAGGTCTTTGACTCGCTGAAGGCGGCGTACGGACTAAGGTTGGAGCCGCTGAGGAGGTTAATCGATGGTAGTTCAGGCGCTACCTGCATCCAGACTGCAAACATAATGCAGATTTGGCAAAACACTTTGATTACCTCTTGAACAATCGTTCAGAGATTGAATGGTTCACCCTGAACGGCCTCAAGCGGCAAGATGTGAAGACGAGTCTGGCAGACACGCTGACGCTGGATGAGACGCAGAGAGAATTTGCTCAGCTGCGAAACGGCAAATGTGCCGGATCCGACGGGATCCCGCCAGAAGTATTGAAACACGGCGGACCCGCGTTAGTGACTGCGATGCACCACTTCGTGAAACGCGTATCGATTGAGGAGGAGGTGCCTCCTGAGCTGAAGGATGCCCTTGTGCTACCACTGTACAAGAGCAAAGGGAACAAGCAATATCGCACGAATTATCGTGGCATCAACTTGCTGAGTTGTGTGAGTAAGGTTACTGCCCGAATCCTACTCAACCGCCTCCTCACTCAGGTTGTGGAACCCAACGTGGCGGAAGAGTAGTGTGGATTCCGTTCGCGTGGCAGCATTATCGATATGCTGTTTGCGGCTCGTCAGTTGCAGGAGAAGTGCAGTGAACGACAACAGCTATTGTACACACTTTTGTTGATTTAACCAACGCATGTGATACGGTGAACCGCGAGACATTGTGGCTGGTGTTGCCTAAGTTTGGTTGCCCGCGCAAGTTTGTAAGTTTAATTGAATGTCTGCACAGTGGTATGCGAGCGACGGTGCGGCTAAGTGGAGAGACCTCGGATGACTTTGCAGTTGTCTCTGGTGTGAAGCAAGGCTGTGTCTTAGCTCCTATCCTGTTTAATAATTATCTTTATGCTATGATGTCTTGTGCTTTTCATGCGGCTTGTGCTTACGGTGTTCGTGTGGAGCACCGTATTGATGGTGGGTTGCTGAACGTCCGTAGCTTTGGTGTGAAAACCCTAGTCTGTGAGACAACTGTCCGTATGTTGCTGTTTGCTGACGATTGTACGTTGTTTTCACACAGCGCGGATGAGTTGCAGCACACAACTAGTGCTCTGACTTCGACAGCAGCCAAATTCGGGCTCACCATCAACACAAGCAAGACTGTCTGTCTCTTTCAGCCTTCACCAGAGGTGCAATCTACAATGGTGTCGCGAATCAGCATTGATGCTGAAGTATCGGAAACCACCTTCCGCTTAGACTACCTTGGGAGTGTGACGTCGACTGACCAGCAGCTACACAGTGAGCTTCAAATCTGCGTCTCGAAGGCAGCGACGGCATTTTGGAAGCTTGAGTACCGAGTGTGGAACAACCATCAACTTACCATTGGCACGAAGCTGATGGTGTACAAATCCATGGCGCTGTCTGTTCTTCTATACGGCAGTGAAACGTGGACGATGTACCGGCGGGATGTGCGATATCTCGAGCGGTTCCATCAGCAGTGTCCGCGACGGATTCTGCGCATTGGTTGGTTCGACGTAGTTGTGGACGCAGAAGTGCTGCGTCGAGGTGGAATGTATGTAGTGGACTGCATACTTTTATTGAGAAAAGCTGAGGTGGCTCGGTCATGCGTGGCGTATGGATTCGACGCGGATACCAAAACACCTATCATATGATCAGCCGAGTATTAGGAAGTGGCATGTGGGGAACCGAAGCTTCGGTACCAGGACATGATCAAAGTGAAGCTCTCACGTGCTAATCTTGATTGCAGGTCATGGGACTCGAAGGCGGTTGATCGGTGTGAATGGCGCAATCTGATCACGAAGTCGGTTGCCGAGGTGCAAAAGAAATCTTTGGTACATGCAAAGAAGAAGCGGCAGACGACGATGGGTTGTAACTCCATCGACATCGAGCGCATGGTGCTGTAGCACTTGCGGTCGCGAGTGCTGGAGTCATGCAGGCCTAGTGAGCCATGAGCGAGGTCACTCGGGGCCAACACAGAAACGACGACGAGTCTTGCTGAGAGCGTGGGCACAACCGGCGCAGCGTTGATAAGTATTCTGCATTCTATTTACCAACCGCATGCTTGGATGCTGAGTCTTTTTATTTCAGGTGGTGGGTTTGCAATACTAATGTTTTTAGCTCATAAATGTCTACTTAAACTAGCTTCACTAAACTTGCACACGTTCCTTAAACTACTTCAGTTAACTGCAATAAGATTTTAGTGTTTGTGGCATTTTCTTAAAATATTTTTTTGACGTCTTGAAACTATAGCGGATTTTTCGGCAACCAATTTATTTCATATGCTCATTTAGTGAACAGTTGTCACAATGTCCGTATATAATATTCAATTTATTTTGTTGGACTCGTCGTTCCAATTGACTGGCTGTTGATTGATACCCCCAGCGTGGCTGCGCTTGATGTGCATGTTGACAAGATTCCTACCTGTCTTTTTCCCACTACCTAGTCCATACTGGCTCCAGAAAACAGTTGGTTGTCGCTGGAAAGGCTCAAAGATTGATTCCATGCACT